ATTCGTTAATTAGACATTTAACCATTTAATTAGAAGTCTCTAAATGAACAGAACAGTATATCTGCTTGGCAACCAAGAATATAAAGACAACGCAGTGAACTGACCTATATGGTCATAGATTTTAGTTGTGAAGGGACAACTTTTCAGGACGGTGAAGCTGAAGAGTCATTGTTTAATTCACAATATGGCAAGGGGACCAGAGTGGTTTTATAGAGGGACTTACTGAAAAGGATTATAAGAGTAATAAGAATATAATAAGAGTGTCAGAGAAATTCCTGGACCTCAGAATGGTTATACTGTCATTAAACTCTAAGAACAGAAAACGGTACCAGCCAGAGCTGAATCCTAGAAAAATGTAAGGTTGACTCTTGACGAAGCGGTTTAGTCACTCCCAGAAGCCCAAGCTAAACTATGCCCATATCAGGAAGCCATGAATACTCACTATGGAAGCCTGAGAGTCCTCTCATGGTCAAAATGCCAAGTTGGGGAAATCACACAGTCATCTATGTGGCCATTATAAATTGATTATACTTGGAGCCATGATAGCTTCAACTGTTTTATTTTGAACACAGGTCCATAGGAAATGATTCATATGGCTCCCCAGATCTGCTTCCAATGAAATGGCATGTGCGCGTGTGTGTGTGTGTGTGTGTTTATATACACAAATATATGGGAACATTAAATATATATATATAATACATTTGTATGTAGTTATTAAATATATATACCTTATATACATGTGATTATATGTGTGTGTGTGTGTGTGCATGCATCATCTCTGAAATAAATGCTTCAATGTAAACTCCTGTCTGTGAGTAGGCAAGACCTCCTGCACAGAAGCTGGCAGAAGAGTTTGCTTAAACAACAGCAATGCAGTGACTCATCTGTGTTTTCACAACATGTTTCTACCCAGTACCCATGTCTATTTGTAGCCTGACAATAAAGGCCCTATGTGAGCCATCTCTGAGCTGTCTGCCTTGAAAAGCAAGGGCACTCTTCTCAGCTGACTCATTTGAGCTGCTTGTGCTTTTGAGAATAACCCACTGCCACATTTATGAAGGCGTGTGATATGACTGAAGATTATTTCAGGCTGTGCCAATGTTTTTCTGCTTAGTCTTGATCTACTGTTCAGAGGGTCAAATAGAGCCAGAGGACCTCACCCCCTAAATGAACCCACTACACACCACTACGGCTATCTCCTGGGGGCACAGAAACAGATAGCTTTATCAACACCCCAGACTATAAATGCTGTCAGAATAGGATTCTTATCTATTTTGGTCACTTATCAGTTTCCTCTGCACTTAAAATAGTGTCTGGCACACAGTAGACATTAAATAAATATTTTCAAAAGAATGAGTCAACCTCTGCCATGGACTTGTGAAATGACCCGGGCCTTAGCACCCCATCCACAAAACACTTTGCTGTCCTGATGCCAAGTCAAGAAGATTTCCACTGCCAGAGCATCACATCTTCTGTGTGTTACAGTACATACCCTGTGGGTGTTGGGCTACTCTCCAACATTTCAAGTCACCTCACTGCCTGATCCTTAAAATAGATCAAATCAATCTATATGAGGATACACACACACATATGCGCACGCGCGCGCACACACACACACACATTGGAGATATATATAGATTTATATATATAATATACGTGCACACATTGGAGATACACATATACATATATATGTGCATATACGTATATATGTTGATATATATATTATATATAAATCTAATCATCTAATATTGAAAGAAAGCCTCATATAATAACTATAAATAAAAATTTTCATATTAAAATATTAGGATATGTAAAATTACAAAATAACCATTGATGTGCATATATATGTGCACATACTGGTTAATTTCTACTTACACAGATTATTTTAGATTTATAAACCCAGATCTGTACATCCACTTACTAATAGCATTAGTTCACCCAAAAGAAATTGATAACAGACTATTCAATTTAACATATATATGAAAAATCATTAATTTTCTATCATATTTTTTCAGTGTTTCTGACACTCCCTGTGATTTCCAGAAGTATCAAACCGCAGTACTTTCACTAATCAGATACTTTGCATAAAGTCAGCTCTCAGGAGTAACACCCAGCAAATGGTCATTTTAGTGGACTACTTAACATCCTGACCATGGAGAGCATTTATGTTTCTCCTAAAGTTTTCAGAACCTAGAAAACAGCTTACTCCACCAGCAAGGCCTTTCCTGTGTCATTTATCACAGGAGAGAAGAAGACCCATGTTCACATTACACAACAGAATCTTTCCCAAGAACTCACTCACATAGAAATCCATTTACCTAGGAGGAGTCAACAATAGACTTTAACAGACTTCTCATCTCAGATGCACTCTTCTAAAGCTAAGGAGTTCAATTCGTGTGTTTCCTTGTTTTGTTTTGCTTTGTTTTTTAAGGCACTAAACATAGGGAATATAGTCAATAATATTCTAATAACTATGTATGGTATCAGGTGAGTGCAAGATTTATTGGGATGATCACTTAGTAAGTTATGTTAGGCCTAATCACTGGGGTGTACACCTGAAACAAATATAATAATGTATGTCAACTGCAGTTGAGAAAATTTTTTTTATTATTTTTTAAAAATTTAAGGCAATAAACAAAACATAGGGAGTGTCATAATATCTCCATCTCAATGAGAAGACCATCCATAAAAATAAAAGTACTGAAAAAAATACCTGCACAAAAATAAACAAAGAAAATAGAAACAGACGCATAGACACAGAGATCAGACTGATGGCTGCCAGAGGGGAGGGGGTTAGGAGACTGAGTGAAAAAGGTGACGGGGTTAAACACTACAGACTGGTCGTCACGAACAGTCCCAGAGACAGGTGTACAGTACAGCATAGGGCATGTAGCCAATAATGTAATAACTGTGTACGATGCCAGGTGGGTACCTGAACTATCAGGGACCACTTTCTAACGTACATAATTGTCCAACCACTATTCTGTACACGTAAAACTAATACAGAATACTGCTGAATGTAAACTGTAATTGAAACATATTTTTTAATCTGCACAAAAAGTCTCTACATTCTGAAAGATGAGATGGTTTTGTTCTTGCTGCGTTCTCAAAATCACAGCTCTTCTATTTTCTCAGCTCACGGCTGCCTTTGTTATCTCTTCACGGCCTCAGGGTGCTTCTCCTTTGCTCCACTGGTTGTCCTGAAGGGTGTGTTCTCCTTATGCACTCGCGTGGATGAAGACTAGCTATCCTATTCGAATACCCTCAGGTTTTATAAAAATCCTCGTACTGATATACCTGCTATAACTTGAATTTTTCCTTTTTATCTTATAGAAGGAAAAAGGGGGAAACGCCTTCTTCCCACACTTCCCGTGTCCTGCCACACTCGCGTTTCCACGCCCCACGCAGGTCTGCCACGGGGACACACAGAGGCGCTCTCTGGCCAGTACAGTATTGTTTGTAAAACGCTCATCAGTTGCCAATATTATAAAATCACTAAATTTCATATAAGAGTTCGAAATTTCAACCACTCTTTAAAAATCAAAAAATGAAGTACTACTGAGTCAACTTTCACGTGGAAACAAGCAGAGCTGAGTGGCAACTGCCCCTCTCCAACAGAACGCGGGCTCGGGAGTCGTCACAGTCCCCAGCTGGCAGAGAGCCCATGTGGAAAAGTCACGTGGCGAGTCCTCAGTTCCCAGTTCTTGCAGACATCCCAGCCTGGGCACTAGACATGTGACTGAAGACGCCTTCAGGCGACTCAACCTCAGCTGCCATCTCACAGGTGTATAAGGACCAAAGAGAGAACCACGCAGCCAAGTCCATCAACCGCCCAAACCATGCGAGAGAAAATGGTTGTTTCAAGCTTCTAAATCTGGGGATGTTGTGCTATGCAGCAATAGATAAGTGTGAAAAGATAAAATGTACTTTCAAGAAACCAAATACAATGGTTTAAAACAGCATCTCCCTTTTTACTCAGAACAATACAGATAGTCTCCATCTTATTTTTGTGTTTAGGCGGAGATCTGAAACAGAAACGTGCCCAGAGAAGAAAATAGAAGTGGAAGAAAAGCGATTATTTGCAATTAGCTGTATTTTTTTTTATTATTATTAAGCTGGTTGGCGGCACTGAGGAATGCCACATCGGTTAAACAGTAATAAGTTGTGAAAGAAAAGGGCAGAGTTAGGAAGGGTTTGTACCTGCTTCTTTACATAAGAATATCACCTCCCCTCACTACTCTGTCCAGCATCTCACGCAATGCCTGTGTTTTTCTGAATGACTGGATCCACTAAAAGTAATTTGTACATCTCTTTCCGAGTGACTGAGGGAATCAGAAGTGTCTTTTCTATCACTGACACGGTAAGTGATCCTGACACGAAAGGCGGGCAAATGCTGCCTGCAGAGTCACCCACGAGATGTGGTTCATACTAAGTCAGTCCATCCAGAGTTTGTACAGCTTAATAAGAAGCAGATTCAGGAACAGGAGAAACAACTCTTAATCTAGCTTGTATTCCTTACAGCTGAGTTCCACCGACAGATAAGCAAATCTACCCTCGAGTAAATCACTCAGTGGACGATTCTGTTGGCTCGTGTGTGAAATGAAGGTGATCATGCATCCCTGGAAGAGCGTGCTCATCATCAGTGTAAGAACATGGTCCACACATTCACGGTCGTAGAAGATCTGCACCTTGTGCCCAGCACAAAACCAAAGCAGCTGAGATGCTTTTGCCCAAACAGAACTGTGTATCCTCATTTCCTTCCCTTCTTCCCTCCCCTTGTGACTCAAGCCAGATTTCATCAAGCTATTTTTATCATTACTAAAATGTTGGAGAGAGAGCAGCAGGCCAAGAGCAAAGTAAAATGCAGCATCCAGCAAAAAAAAAAAAAAAAAAAAAAATCACGCTGAGTAACTGAAAAGCCATCTGCTTCTCACTGAGCTGCAGGGTGAGGAAGGCAATCTGGGCTGGACTATTTGTGTCTTCCCCCAAACCAAACCCACCTGCATGTTGTCTGTGGCATCCCCAAGCAGTCCTCCGAAAGTGATAGCATTAGTTACAGTTGCCAGATAAATGAAGAGAATTGCTGATAGAGCCTGAATATTTAAAGCGTCATAAAAATCACTGGCAAAAAATGGTGCTTTCCTCTTTATGTCCTTAATTAGTCCACCACAGAACCTGGGTAAGGAGAAAGCAAACACGTGACAATGTAAAATAAATTACCATCAAATTAACCAACAGATAACTTATTAAACCGCAAAGAATTTGTACTTAAAGTGCTTGAATGAACAAGGTACTATTTAACCACTTAAACCAGAAAACTGTGGGAAAATATATTTTCTTGTATCTTTCTCTTTTTCAGTCACCAAATTAGGTGTCACATTCCCTAAAGACCAGATAGTTGGTCTTTAGATGAGAGTGAATTGTCTAGATAAATTAAAATTACTCAACATATGAAGCAAAACATCCAAATATGTGAGCAGATCGTGCAAGAACCTTCTATCGTCTTGCCATGGCTTCCTTTCCAGACTCGTTCATTCGTTCGTTCATTCGTTCCTTCATTCCACAAATGTTTATTGAGCGTCTGTGATATGCCCAGCACTAATCTGGGTGCTGGAAATAAAACAGTGAACAACAGTACAGGGTAAAAATACCCACCCTCATGAAGTTTACTTTCCGTGTGGAGGAACAAAATAAGTGAAGCGCATGGTGCTAAACTCAAGGGCAAGAGTAGAGATGGCTGAAATAGGATGGTGGCCAGAACAGGCCTCCTGAGCATGTGACCTGGGGTAAGAACCTAAAGAAACTGAGGGAGGAAGCCAAGCAGGTATGTGGTAGAACAACGCTGCCAGCTGAGCACCACTGCAAATGTTACCAGGTCAGCTTCAGTCAACCCCGCCCCCAGGCAAACCTCACAACTCAGCCTTCCCCTGCCGTTCCTTCCGCCTACCATGACCTCCCTCAAAACTCAACAGCTCTCTGGAGTCTTGACCCTCCAGTCATAGGTCAGACTTCAACTAGGGGCTACCACACTTTGTGAGAGTTATCTCTCTGTCTGTCTGGGTGCACGCTGGCCCTCAGCGGTCCTCGGTGGACTGCTTCAATTTCCTTGGTATATGCACAGGGCAGGGCACACTGCAGATGCTCGGTACATTTAGCAAAGGTGAAATATGGAATAATGAAATCTCAGTCTGCAGTGTTTTAAAAAAGACTTATTTTCATAAAATGAGTATCCTATTTAAAATTTTACATAAGCCAGAATGAAACGGAGAAGCTAACAGTGGAGGAAGATGAATTGTCATGAAAAGAGGTTTAGAGCAATCTGGTAAACCCTATTTCCCAACCACAGTCTAGGGAAACCAGGCCCTGTGAGTTCCTCATTTATTTCTATAACATGCTGCCCACATTTGAGTAAATGTACAGAAAAGATGGAATCACAAAAGCCACGTGGGGAAGACTGGCCCATCATTCACTCCTCCGGCCATACACACCCACCCACAATCTCTCTGTTTGTCTCTCTAACACCCCGTCCCTCACGCCACTCCGTCACCCAGGCCCCAGCCCCAGCCCAGCACACCAGGCACTCTGCTGTCCCCTCACTCAACCCCACGTCTACAGGGTCTGACTCCCACCTCCTGCAGGACTTCCCTTCAATGCTGCTGTGCCAGGCCACTCTATCAAAAAACCTTTCTCCCACCACCAACTCCCTACTTCTCCTTTGTTTTCCTCCATAAAACCATCACCACCACAACATCCCTTCATTTGTTCACGGTCTTCACCACTGCAAAGTAAGACCCATAAGGACAGGAGTTTTTGTTCAGGTCACTGCTGCATCCCCAGTGGCTGTGACTATAAATGTTTGTTGGCTGAACAAATGTACAAACCAGTGAATAAAACACTGATAGAAAGATTAAGGGAAATTTAGACCTAAAGAGAATCTCATCATGAAAGACAAAAGAATCCATCAGTTACCGTCCAGTTCTCTGCAATTCTTCACTGTCTCCATGTCCTCCTCCTCCTCCGTGGCCTCCATCATGGGGTGTGTCCCCGTTCATCTGAACATTCTCTCCACCTGAGTACATGTTCTTTCTAAGACAACAGAGCCCAAGAGAATATTAGTTTATTGTACTTATCTGCCTCTTAGCTATGCCATGCATCAGTTAATGAAGACATGAGCGGAAAACCCTGTGGGAGAAATCATTATTTCCTTCTGCCATCCTAACAGACGCTTCTGAAAGTGTTATATTTACAGCACAGACAAATGACTGGAGGAACAGAAGAGTTGAACAAATTGTATACTGCATACAAGAGAAACCGTTTCACCTGGAAAATAACAGATTTCCAGAAAATGGCTTCTCCTCAATTATCTCACCCAATTTCTTAACCCCTTAAATCTACAGGGCATCATCTTGAGTAAAATGACCTTTCCACATGCACAGGGAGTCCCCAAAACATCTCCAAAGAATCTCTATGATGTATTTCAATATCATAATCTGAGAGCTCTAGTTTGTAATCACCAAAGAACATCACAAAATATAACATTCATTTTACAGTGTCAATAAAATGTCAAAACAAGGCACATACGTGATTCATTTGAGATGAGATAATACATCAAGTTAAATGGGAATCTAAAAATATTAGGGCAGTTGTCTGACTCCGTTTACTTTGCCTAACATAATCTCTTTCTCAAGGTTTAACACCTCCAACTGCTTGATAATTTACCTTTTGTCGGATGATGGAAGACTCTTAGGAGGCTCTATCCTGATCGCTGGATCCCATTCCCCAGGAGGGAGGACAATGACTTCATCTAGGAACTCATCAATGCCAGCAATCAGGTCCTGCCTATCTTTTGCTTTATAAGCAATGTCATGGAACACCTAAAGAACAATAAGAGATGTGCTGATCCAACAAGGTAACTCCACATGCCTCACATGTCCAGCCTGAAGAACACAATCCATAACCAACTCTAATGTTGCTATGACTATATACTCACATTTCCTGTTATTCAGTGTACCCCCAAGTATTTCAGTAATAAACCCAAAGAATATAGAGAGAGGCATGAGAAAACAAATGACTGTTTCTTTTATGTTTTTCTTCTATCAACACTGTAAAATAACATTGCCTATCGTCTCCCACTGTTATGTACCATTATTGATATAGTTGCTATGGAAACCAGATAAAAATTATTTGGAGAAATATACTAAAGAGTCATTCCCTGAAATAAAAACTACCAGGACAAACTACTGCTGGTAATTCAAGAAAGAAAAGTTCAAACTGAGTGTTAAGACTGGGCTAAGACCTAAACACTACAGTTCTCAAACACACAAATAACGCTAGCTACTAAAAAAAAGAAAAATCTGAGTTATATTGGCGACACACAAAGCAAAGGTCTTTGCGTAGGTGATCATCTATCTGTCCAGCTATGAAAGGCTTAGGATTTGTGTAAGGGACTTTCAGATCATCAGCTAGGTGAGAAAAATGTAACAACTGACCAAGAAGATTACATACAATCTGGAATGTAGATAGTGTCTATTGCTCATCTAGCTATCAAGGGACTAACTAAACCATCCAAGGCAGTAAATGCTCCATGTCTTTTATGCAAACATCCAAAGAAGGAACTTCCTGAATGTATATCATGCAATTAGAAGTATGTGGTCATCAGCCTTTGTTATAATGAACACTTTCATGGCAAATAAGCTGACAGTCACACAGTTTTCAAAAGGTAAATTCTCTGTTGGAATAAAAAATAGTTTTCTTTATTTTCTAAATGCTTTCCATTCTTAAAACTTATGTATGTTAGGCAGTCTTTAAAAAGTTCAAGTCATGCCCTGGCTGGTTTGGCTCAACGGTTAGAGCTTCAGCCTGTGGTCCAGAGAGACCCAGGTTTGGTTCCTGCTAAGGGCACGTACCTCGGTTACAGTTTGTCCCCTGCCCTGGTTGGGTCATGCGGGAGGCAGCCACTTGATGTGTCCCTTTCACGTCAATGTTTCTTTTTCTTTCTTTCTTTCTCTTTCTCTCTTTCTCTCTCTCTCTCTCTCTCTCTCTCTCTCTCTCTCTCTCTCTCTCTCTCTCTTTCTCTCCCTCTCTCCCCTTCCCATTCTATCTGAACAAAAAATGGAAAAATGTCTTCAGGTGAGGATTAAAAAAAAAATTCAAGTCATATTTGTGGAATATAATGAACATAACAGTCTGAGGAATGGGGTAGTCCCAGAGATGTGGAAGTGGGGTACAGACTGACAATCCCCAGAAGAGGGGGTAGGGGGAGATAAACCACAGAACTTATATGCATGTGTGCATGACCAATGGACATGGACAACAAAGCTGGGGACAGGGCAGGGGGGGAGGGGGGAGTCAGTGGGGGGAAAAGGAGAAATATCTGTAACAAAACTAAATTAATTAATTTATAAAATAAAATTAAAAGTTCAAGTCACTGTATTAACTTACAGTGACCGTCAAATCACAGGATGCAAACACACCAGTAGGACATTCCCAGATCACCATCTTCCCGATTCCCTACCTCGTCAGACATCAAGGTGGCAATGGCTCTGCCAATCTCGTGGTAGGACTTGGCTTTCCCCTTAGGACCTAGGAGAATGAATAAGAACCTAGTGGAAGAGGAAAGAAGCAAAGGCTATAACACACATTCCATCAAACTCAAAACACATAACACTGAGATTCGTTCATCCTAGTTCTTAAAAAGGTTAGATCTAGAATTCATCTTTAAACAAATGGAATATTTTTGGTAGTATGACAGATACTCTTTCAAATACAGTGAAACAAAACTCATTGTTTAGTTTATGTGGAGGCAACGGAGAATTTAGCAGGGAAACCTGAGAAGCTTCTCCACTGAGGAGGAAAGTTTCACTTTTTGAGTCATTCAATCTTTGTTTTCTAAACTTCCTTTTCTCTCCATTTCTACTGAATTGCAGAATTTTGGGGGAAAAAAACATTAAACACAATAACTAGAAAGACTTAGCACATCTTCGATTTCTCTGACTTTTCCTTACCCAATTTGGGCAATGACATATGATCTTCTCCAGATTTTTAAGAAATGTGTCTACTCAGAAGTGACTGGGGGTCAGCAAAAACCAAGTCGTCTACAAGCAAGCCACATGCTGACAGCCAAAGTAAAGAAGGAAAATATGAAGAAAAAAAAAAAAAAGGCAAAATAAAGCATAATTCACAGTCTTTTGGGGGGGAGGGGTTGTCCTCATTTTGCTTTCCAAACTTTTCTTGATACTGCACAAGCCCTGCTCCACAGTACGCAGGTCCTGAAACTTACATAATAAGCTTATACTCATTTAGGTTCCCCTCTTCTCAAAGTGAAAGAAATCCCTCACAGATGACAAGAACAAAGATGCATGTCTCAGCCGCGGAGGAGGAAACCTGATATGTAAATGAATAAGAAAAATATACTAATGGCAACAACGGATAAATCCCTGCCTTGCTTATGATCATGTCTTACCTAACACAGAGATAATGAGGACAATAAAAATCATCACATCATACATTTTCACAGCTTTTTAAAGCTTGTAAAGCACTTCACATTCATCACCTCCGGTAAACTCCATACAACCCTTTGCAATAAGAACAGGTGTCCTATGCCTGTGTAATGGTGAAGGAACTGAGGCTCAGGAAGGTTAATGAAAGAGCCCAAAGACTGCGCCTGATAAATGAGAGAGAACAGACAGACTTTCCTACCTCTTCTTTTCAGTACACAATACTGCCTAATAGTATCTGCCCAACCTACACACCAGGCTTGTGAATCAAGAAAGAAAGGCTATACAACAATGACTTCCATAAATCATCCTGGGGAACGATGTTGTGGATTATATACCCGGGGGCAAGAAATCTCAGGTAAAATTTCAGGGGACCAGGAATGGCTGAGGACTTAGCTTAGTAAAATTTTATTTTGTACTCAGTTATTTATATACCTCACTTTAAATGAAGAAGGATTAACAGCAAGTACTTCTGAATGTGTTAGAGTCTGTTCCAAATTGCCCTTAAGTAGATAATTCCTTTTTTATTATTTATTGTAAATTCAATTGACAGAAGAAAAAAACAGAAATGAAAAATATTGAAAAGTATCTGAAAGTATGAATAGTCATATTTTATCTCAGAATAACCATGAAGCCACTCAGTAGTTATGTGCTTAAAACCAGTTCTGCAGGGGGGCGGCTCGCTCACTTTCAAGTCCTACCACAGTAGATGAAATGGCCAAAGCAATCGGCAGGCACAGAAGTCTGTGCAGTATGAAGTTGTTATTGGAATTGGATTTTAGTTCTTCTAACACTGAGGTTCAATGGATACTAGAACGTTTCTTTTTTTGAAGCTGGACCTAAGTTATATACCACTACGTCTAGTAATATACAGCACTCCTTTATGACAGTAAAATGCATTTGTCTAAAGGGACTGATTATTGATTTGAGTGCAACACATGCAAAGAAATTTAACCACTGAGGCAAAATACAAATTAGAAACGCTTCTCGTACTGGTCACATCTCCCAATCCTATTTTCCTGTCTACCCATGGCCAACTGTCAGGCAGGACCATAAGGGCATAGTTTTAGGCAAAAGGGGACAAGTGTATTGCAGCAAGAGAAAAGGACATTTGAATATTTTACTTAATACATTTTCAAATAATAAGGTTCCTTTGCCTGCCATTTTTATTCCTTCAATGTATCCAAATCTTAGTTTTTCAGTAATACATCATATCTAAAACGTACCCAGAACCACTCTGTACCTCTTCTCGCCTCTCCCAAGCATCTCCATCATAATTACAGTTTACAAATACACATTATGGAAATACACATTTATCCACTGACACTTGAGTTAATTTTCAGATTGGCGACAAAATCAAAATACTCTTTTGTCATTAATAAATACTCTCAGTCATTAATAATCTTCAAGTATAAACTTTGGCAGACAATGGGTGACTATTCCAAGAGCTGATGGAAAAGTGAAGCCTCCAAGTTAAGTTCTATGAGATGAGGACATACATTTTCTTTTCTTTTTTCTTTATTTCTATTGAATTTACCAGGGTAACATTGGTTAATAAAATTACATAGGTTTCGAGTGTACGATTCTATATACTACATCAGCTACATATTGTATCATGTGTTCACCACCGCAAGTCAAGTCTCCTTCCCTCACCATTTACCCTCTTCTACCTCCTCCCACGCCCTTTTCCCTCTGGTAATCACCATACTGTTGTCTGTGTCTATGAGGTTTGTTTTTTTCCCCCTTAATTCCTTCACTTTTTTTGCCCAGCCCCCAACCCACCTCCCCTCTGACAGCTGTCAGTCTGTATCTATGAGTGTTTCTATTTTGTTTATTTGTTCATTAGATTCCACATATAAGTAAAATCATATGGTATTTGTCTTTCTTTGACTGGCTTATTTCACTTAGCATAATACTCTCCAGGTCCATTCCTGATGTTGCAAAAGGTAAGAACGATTTCCTTCTTTTTATGGCTGAGTAGTATTTCATTGTGTAAATGTACCACAGCCTTTTTATCCACTCATCTACTGATGGACACTTGGGCTGCTCCCAAATCTTGGCTATAATAAATAATGCTGCAATGAACATAGGGATACACATATCTTTTCATTTAGTGTTTCAGGTTTCTCCTAATTATTTACCCTGGTCTCTGCTAAACAGTACCGAAGAATAAATGGAAATAGCAGACCAATGATCAATATAACATGTATCATAGCAAAACCCAATACACGAGAATTATAATGTTTCAGTAACTTCAACAAACTAGACATAAAGGTGCAATTCCTCTTTCTTAGGTAATATAATTTATATATAGGTAACTTTATATGTATAAATACATACATAAATTTTCTTTTTTAATGAAAAGTCATCAAGTGCCAAACAGAAACAACATCTTACATATCTGTTAAAATGTTCACATTACTCCAGTCAGGAACCACTTGGTGAATCCACCTCCTTAAAATGATATAGAGAGTAAGAGAGAAAATACGGCCATCTATAAGTAGCAGAAAACATCACTTCTGATGAGAATTTAATCAGTAGGAACGAGCCCCTTCAGAAGCCTCTAATTCTGATTAGACTGTCAAATGGGTATGAAAGATCCAGGAAAACGAACAGAACCACTCATCAAGTTCAAGTTCCTTCTACTTGAAACATGTTCTCGCCCCTTTAAACCTCACAGAAGTGAAAGCTGTTACGACGTTTGTGATGGAAGTACATCGTGCCAAACTCCGCTTTTATAATGTATTGAAAACTCCTTTCATGACCCAAGCTGTTGTTTGTCAATGGACAGATGTTATTTTTAACCAGAAGCTCTTTTTCTTTATTAACAAATTCGAGTAAACATTACATTGGTGTGGCTGGAAGGGCACAGCCCACATGGACAGCTTGGTGGGGAATTAATTTATGTTGCTAGGTTCTTTAGATCCACTCGTAACAAGAACGAGTCACAGTGGGATTTGAACAGTGCCTAGTCGTCTGTGGAGTCTTCCTGAGGTGCTTCCACTCCTGTGAGCTTTCTCATATGACTGATCCTGCCTGGGGAGGACGCCTGCAGCATTTTCCACAACAAAAATAAGTGCCAGATGATCTGCGTCCGGAACAATGGACTACACTCACATTTACAAAATAATTACAGCCAGAAACAGAGCATAATGTCAGAAAAAGAGCCAGCCTTCCTAAACTACTCAATCTTTTCAGAAAGGATGTGCACCCCTCTTCCTGATACATCACAGCTATTTCTAGAATAAACTCAGCCTTCACCGATCCTTTACTCCCTTCTCCCAAAACAACAGTAAATCAAATAACCATTATTCATATTTAGCAGCTTTGGAAAATGTGGCTGAACTGCAGCTTCCACAAGAGACTCATGGGGACCACAAACCAACCATAGCCATCCACATTAGTTATGTAAACAGCAGCTAGCAATTGGATTGTTGGACAAGACAGAACTGAACTAGCATGGTCTTCATCCCAAGCCCTCTAATAGGATGCTTTATGGTTTTGACAATTAAGTGCAAACTACTTTTTGTAGGCAAGTAATTACTTATAACATAAAATGTGTAACTTAGAGCGAAACTAAAGAGGCAAACAGTCTAATATTTTAGAGGGCTAGAACTCACTGAAAAATGATTTGCCTTATATGTGAAAATCAAGGTCAGAAAAGGACACACTGATCAAAGGCTTTTATTATCCTTCATGGGAAAACCCTAAAGTATTTTATTCCAATTCATTGTAGATATTTCCTTAGAGTCCCCTTAAAAGCTGGCCTCAGTCAGAAATCTGCAGTTCTATTTCTAGCACTAATAGATCTTCCCTTTGCCTCCCTCTCTCAACTAAAAATGGGAATAATAATATTTATCCCCTACATAGCTCACAAATATGAGTTAGTAGCAGCCTCTATAGATAGATAAAGATGACAGCAAGCAAAGAGTGTGTGAGATGCTAGGAAAATCATCAACGTACCCTACCAAGTGACCACAGCTCAAAAAAAATGGTTTGCTTGCTTTCACATGAATGGAAAGAAGGGCCATAAGTAGATAACATCCACCCGTTTGGAGTCATCCAGCTATAAACAGAAAGCTAAAATAGATCAACCAAATAACAGACGAGAGAAACTTGTAAACTCCACACAAGGAAAATTCCTAGAGCTACACTTCCTAGAAGGTGCAGAGTACTATTACTGTTTATTATAAACAATAATAATAAGCATAAGAGCGTAACGTTCCTCCACCTTCAAAAGGGAAAATGATCCCTACAAGATGTGCACAAAAACCAACTTTCCGGGTCTCCGGGCAGTGCAACAGGGCAGTGTGCAGGGCAAGCACGGGGCCAAGTGCAGAGGCGGTCCTTCGCCGTCACGGCCACATTCCTTGTGGGATTTCCTTTATTGGATTGCACAGGATGCAGCCATTGTAAACGGCCCGCATCTCACACACACACACACACACACACACACACACACACACAGCTAATGAGACTCCCTACTCAGTGATTACAGCTCGCACTGGTTCAGAGGACAGCAAATGAATAAAACTATTTCCTGGGAAAATGTTAACATGCTAGGATATATTGCCCAGATTATTGCCCCGAAATAGTTTTATGACATTATTGAATTACATGCCCTTGAATTGCTGGGATCCTTTTGTGGATTCAAATGATGCTGCATTTCACCTCCTGACTACGGCCACGCTCCAGCACAGAAGAAAAGAGTGAGACAGGCAGAAGCAGATGATTAAGAGGAACACAAAAATGGTCAAAATTTGCTACTCAATAAACTCGTACTATTGTGAAATAAAAAGCCTTTGAAAATATTTTTATTTGTAGCTTTTAAAGAAAAATAATAGCAATGAAAAGGCTAGAGCAATTTAACTTCTAGGCATGCTTTTCCTTTTTTTTTTTTTTTTTTTTTCCTTCTCTTTCAAGCTCCAGTAAAGTTACCAAAGAGACATAAATAAAAGCATAAGGACACACAGCTGGCCTTCAGCCATGCTCTGAGCCAGCCAACTTTCGCCAGGTGATGGCTCGGATAGAACCTCAAGGTTCTGCTACTGTGTTTTCAAGCCAAAAGCTAAGGCACAGAAAACACAAAGCATGATAATCCCATTAATTGAATAAGCAAATAGCAATAATCAACTCCTTTCCTCTATCTGTCCAATGACTGCCTAATAATGACATGTATTATACCATTTGAAGCGTCTAAGAAATATACAAGTGAGGGAAAAATTATAGTATGATCAGAAAGTGTCCTGTAATCTATGAATTGAAAGGCCCTAAAAGAAATGTTCTTATTTTCCTCCTAATTTGGCTCAAAACCACCTTGAGCCCCTTGACACTGCCAGTTCATCATGCTCAGACCATCTGAGATTGCTGAGGAGCACTGACAGCCTTCCTGTTCCCCTGGGGAAACCTAAACAAGGGACAAGCCACCCGTCCTTGTCCTGAGACCCACAGAAAACGCTTACACACACCCCAAAAAGTTGCTATTCCTGTGATAATTTTCAGATATCAATTTGAAAATTACAGCTTCTCTTCAGACTCTTCTTCAGCACAAGTTTAAGTGAAGCATAAACTCCTATCCACCTATGGCATTCCATAAGTCAAGCTTCCTAACTCTATTGAGAGTAGTTGCAAAGGGAGATAAATGAGTTCAAAGATACTGTGCAGTGTATTGAATACATGGTTGTAATAACAGTAATATGCTTCCTTTTAAAATAAAAATGTATGCAACAAAACAGTAAATTATGCAAATATAAGGGTACAGCTTTATAATTATTATACCTACACACACACACACAAAATCAATTTTCCGATTTAAAAAATAGGGCAAATGAGCCCTGGCCTGTTTGGCTTAGCAGTTAGAGCAACCACCTGTGGACCAAAGGGTCAAGGGTTTGATTCCTGGTCAAGGGCATATACCTGGGTTGCAGGTTTGATCCCTAGCCCTGGTCGGGTCTTGCAGGAGGCAACTAATCAATGTCTCTCTCTCACATTGATGTTTCCCTCTCTTTCTCTCCCCCCTTCCCTCCTTTCCACTCTACCTAAAAATCAATGGAAAAATATCCTCAGGTGAGGATTAACAACAATAAAAAGGACAACAAAATAGAGCAAATGAAAGCAACTCTGATCTATAAACCAATTACCACCTGTGTAGGTTTGTGCAAGAACTTAAATTCTCACTCAGTTTCTCCATCTGTAAAATCCATATCCCTAGTTTATACTTTAAAAATATAATTGTTATTCATAATAATTCATAAGAAGATTAATTCATAAGAAGAAACTAGTACATGGGCCGAAGAATTGTTTTGATTATGATTACTACTAGGTAAGTGCCAAGTCATGTGACAGCATGAAAGTCAGATTAAACCATTACTTCAAATTTAATCTTTCCAATATGCTCACTCTAGATGTATCCTCATTTTATCGATTCTCTAGCCTGAGAGAGAGGAGATTTCCCTATAACCACACTGTAGGCCCAGGAGGTCAGGGATCAGCTTACCTTGTGGGCACAGGGACCTCAGTCAGGGCCCCCAGCATGACCGCCTGCTGTAGCCGAACAAAGGCAATGAAAGGCGTGTCCAGGAAGTCGACCTCCCCCACGAGCACGTTGGAGGCTTCTGCATCACGGGGCAGTTTTTTCATGAACTTGTTCTTCAGCTGCATGGAAAGAGCCAAGCAAGCACAACTTATTTCCAGAGAAGGGAACAAGAAGAAGCACTCCCGGTATCACTGCAGGGAATCCCGACAGGAGTCTACATGCCAGGACCCAGCTATAGCCATCTTCCTATTATTGTTAACCATCCGATTATACATGTCTCTGTACCTCGGATTAAAAAATAGTGAGGGTGTAATCACACGGTTTACATATAAAACAGTGTTTACATATAAGATAATTTGTTTATTGATTCATTCACTCAGTAAACACGTGTTGGGAGTCTAGTAGGAGCCAGGCACTGATCTAAGCCGTAGGGATACAGGGAAGGATCAACTAATTACATGTCCTCCTAGGGCTCATATTCCAGCAGGGGAGAAATAAAATACAATTTAAAGTAGTGAAAATGGCTAAGAAAACATAAATCAAACCAGTAACCGGGTACTTTAGGTAGGGGGGTCAGGAAAGGCCTCTGAAGAAATACATTTGACTCTGGAGTGAGGGGACAAGCCACGTAAAGATCTGGGCAAAGAACATTCCAGGCAAAGGGAACAGCAAGTACCAAGCTTCTGAGATGGGAAAGAGCTTGGCAGTTAGAGGAAATAATAAAGCAAGAGTGATGACCGCTGAGGGAGCAATGGGGGGCCACAGCTAAGGGGGTTGGGGAGGGACCAGATGTAAGGACCTTGCAGACCAGTCAGGAGTTCGGAATATTTCAGGTGGGACTTCTATACTGCAAATTCAAGTGGAAAGGTAGAGTAGAAAGTCATAAATTTCAGAGATATCCCCATGTAAACAATATTATGACCATAGGGCAGGATCACACAGGTTTGGCTGTGAGTGTAGCTAGAGAAGAAGGATGAGGTCTAAACCCTGGGCCACCCTACCTTTTATAGGAATGGGAGGAGCTACTGGCAGAGGACACTGGAAAAGAGCAGCCAGTGAGGTCGGAGGTGAACCAGGACTTAACAATCAGGTGAAGAAAGGGCTCGATAAAGAAAGCCTATCAGCTGAGCCACAGGCTGCTGACAGCTCGAATAAGGTCAGAACTAAGAATGGACTGGAGAACTTGGCACGGCGAAGGTGCTGGGTGATCTTGACAAGCGTTGTTGCAGGGGACACCAGGGAGCCCAGTGAAGAGTGAGAGGCGAAGAAACGGAGACACGGAGTACAGAGCATTATTTTGAGAAATGTTGCTACCAAGAAAAGCCAAAAAATAGGGGGATAGGCGAAAGAAGTATAAAACAAAGGTTTTTTAACAAATGGGAAATATGATAACACTTTGGAATGTTAATGGGAATGATCTAGTAGAGACAGATTATTGCCGCAGGAGATATGGGGATAACTTCAAGAGCCACACAAGCAACCCTAAACTACTGAGAAGAGACTATCCACATCACAAGTAGGAGGATTACCTTCAGATAGGAACACAGCGCGTTTATCAATCCTAACTAGGGAAAGCAGGCTACATGGGTACAGATGGGGGTATCTGGGAGATTTGGTGGGGTGAAGAGGAGGGCTTCTGAAGGCTCACATTGTTGCAGTAAAATACAAGTGAGCTGATGGTCAGGAGGGGGCGGTATGTGGGAGTTTGAGTACAGCGGTAAAATAGTGGTTTTCTTGGAGACTGAGAGTTGCTCAGCACAGTCATACTGAAAGCTTACCCTGTAGGTTTATTCCTTACTTCCCCTCCCTTCCCAACTCCCACTTCGAATAGGGCTGTTGCCCTGGCCAGTTTGGCTCAGCGGTTAGAGCGTCGGCCCGCGAACCAGAGAGACCCGGGTTCAGTTCCCGCTAAGGGCACGTATCTCGGTTGCAGTTTGTTCCCAGCCCTGGTTGGGGTCGTGCGGATGGCAGCTAGTTGGTGTGTCTCTCTCACATCAATGTTTCCCTCTCTCTCTTCCTACCTCTCTCCCTCCCACTCTATCTGAAGATGAATGCAAAAAGTATCTTCAGGTGAGGATTTAAAAAAAAAAAAAAGGATAGGGCTGTTAAGCATACTTCCATACTTCAGTGACTGGGAAATGCCTCCCACAGTTCAAGGAAAATATTTCCATGATCATGGAAGGATAGAGATAAGAATCTTGCAGGACCATACGAAAGGCAGACGAGTGATACATTCTTATCGATACAAATATCTCTCTCCTCAAGTCAAAAGTTACCCAGTACTTTGTGCCATTATCACTGAGATGGGAAGTGGCAGGCTGGCCCAATTTTCCCCATGAATAAAAAGGCTATATTAACACTTTACTTTCCATTTCCAGATAGAGTTCTTAATTAGGGTAAATAAGTGTAATGAAAACTGATCCCTAGAACTCCATCACCTTCAGTAGCATTTTTATGGGATTTTTTTTTAACTTAAATTTGGTAGTTTATATAAGAAAAGTGAGGCAAAAACAAAAACAACAACAAAACAACCAAGGAAGTTAGGGTTATAGTTTAGTGGAAATCAAAAATAAAAAAGCAAAGGCAAGATATATTGTTTTAGATGTTAGAAACATGACTACTTCTAAACGATAAGGGATATTCCCAAAGTTTATACCATTAATCCTCCAAGAAATGCTAATATTCAAAATAAATTATGTTTACATTATACAGATATAAAAAGAGCAGCCATAGGAAGGGTCTAAAATCATTAAATTGCCAAAACTATTATTATGGCCTAAAGAAGTTACCATGATGAACTGTTCTCTGTGACAGAGCAGAGTGTGGGATTCGGAGCGACCTGACACCACACCTGCAGAAAATCCCAGGTGAACATCTACGTCCACAAACTGTTTTACTAGTACTATGGTACCTTCATTGAGATTACTGTACCATTTTGAGAAATTAGGAGTATATTTTTAAAGGCCAAAGGAAATAAACTGTATGCTATATGCTCTGAAGAGAAGTAAGTTTAAAGATATGTTCTTTTAGATCAGCATATTTCAAACTGTGTTAGTGGAACACTAGTGTTCTCAGAGACACTAATAGCTATTCTAAAATAAAAATATGTGATGCCTGAGATGCCCCAGAAGTCAGTCCTTAGATGACTCCTTTCTCCCTACACACACTCTCTGGGTGATCTCATCAAGCCCCATGGCTTTAAGCACCATCTATATGCTGATGACTCATAAATGTGTATCTTCAGTCAGGACCTCTTCCCTGAACTCCAGAACTAACAACATCTCTACTTGTGTGTCTAAGAGGCACATCAAACTTCACATACCCCAAACTGAGCCCTCCTGATACTGGAGTCAATTCCTCCAGTTCCCCTCTTCTAGTTAATGGCAACTCCATTTTTCTACGCTCAGGCCTAAACCTTGCTGTCATCTTCAACATTTCTCTTCCTCTCCCACCCCATGTCTATTCTACCAGCAAATCTGGTTGGATCTACGTTCAAAGCATATCCAGAACCTGACATTTCTCACCACCTTCACTGCCACCACCCTTGTCCACATTGCAACCATTTATCTCCTGGAGTATAGCACTGGCCTCCCGGCTGGATTATCTGCTTCTGCCCTTGCACCAGTCTAGTCAGCAAAGCAGCCAGAGATCAAATCAGGAGTCAGTTCATGTCTCTGCTCAAAACCCTCTGTTGGTCCCCATTTCACTAAGAGATAAGGCCAAGTCTTTTTTTTTTTTTTTTTTAATTTTTTTCCTTTATTGATTTTAGAGAGAGAGGAAGGGAGAGGGAGAGAGAGAGATAGAAACATTGATGAGAGAGAACATCGACTAGCTGCCTACTGCATGCTCCCCCCCCCCAGCACTGGGGATCCGGCCCACAGCCTGGGCATGTGCCCTGACCCAGAATTGAACCGGCAACCTCTTGGTGTGTGGGTCGACACTCAACCACTGAGCCACACCAGTTGGGCCAGATCTTTATTTAAAAGTTGCCTTCTTATCCCTGAGTCTTTCCCTGGCCACATTACTTAAACTTTCAGCCTCCTTCTCCCCACAGGCTCTTTTTACTCCTATTTCCTGCATTTTTTCTTCTTTGTACTTATCAAAGCCAAAATGTTGTATGTTTTACTTATCTTCCTTATTTTCTGCCTCTCCACTAGAATGCAAACTCCCCGAAGGTAGGAATATACATCTATTATTATGTTCAGTGTTATATCCCTTTATTGATTTTTAGAGAGAGAGAGAGGAAGGGAGAAGGAACAATAGAAATATCGATGAGAGAGAACATTGACTGGCTGCCTCCTGCATGCCCCCCACCAGAGATTGGACCCACAACCTGGGCACGTGCCCTGACCAGGAATCGAACTGGTGCATGGGTTGACTCTCAACCACTGAGCCACGCCAGCCGAGCCAGTGTTAACTTCCTAATGTGTAGGAGACGCCTGAGGAGAAAGATTCAATAAACATTTGTTGAATGATAGTTATTATGTCTGCTCTTCTCAATAAGCTTTCCTAATTCCTCTCTTAAGGTCATAGGTTCTGGATATGCCTCCACCAGCCAGGTTATTAGGTGGACAAAAGGCCTAGACATGGCCAATATCAATCAACTTTCTCCCTGATAAAAGCCACAGGTACAAAGGATGGATGCACAACCCAAGTAGGGACCCAACCATCTGGAAAATCAGTATTTGAATAAAAATCAACATTCTCCCTTTCACCAGCCAGTACTCCCCTCCATATTGAAAGGGCCTGTTAGAGGACCATGCACATTAGGAGAGAATGAGGTCAGCACCCAAAGTGAAACAGACAAAAACAGGAGAGAAAAAAAGTATGGAGAGCGATTGCTGAGTCCCCAGTCCCTGCCCTGAGGTTCTGCAGCTTCTCCATTCTGTAAACTCACCAAGAATTCTTACCAGTTGCATAAGCCAGAAAATTCCATTTGGGGCTTTCATTAATGTGGGGTGATTTCTGTCTACTGAAGAGTCCAGACCCTTCACAAAAGTACATCTGTCCAATAAATTTTAGGAATTCCAGGTTAAATAAAGTTAAATTAAGTTTCTATACTACAGACTCTCTCAGAGCCTTGAATATGTTTATATGCCTTTGAAAGCTGTATCTCCCA